AAAGTTACAAATACGTGTGACACCTCTGCCAAACAGCTGACTAGAATTATATGAATATAACATGAAAAAAATTGCAGAGAACAACCGAGATATTTCCATTGCATAAGTTTATGAAATAATGACATCCGATTATAACACTAGAATTGTTCGTTGTAACCTGAATAAATTATGAATGGTATGACCTTTGGAATACAAGACATTTCCTAGAGCTGAATGGGCAATAGTTAGGTTTGCAAATACCATAACAACTGAAAATTGTGTATATTCGTGTTCAGTGTGTACTTAGTAGATTCGTTCTGATACCACGTTGATGTTCTCTTCATGGTAAGCATGTAATTAATACCAATTTACGTTAACATCCATCGATACAAATTATAATGATTAACAGACAAATGGACACATAATCGTGACAAATGGACACAAACTAGTGACAAATGGACACAAAATCGTGACAATTGGACACAAAATAGACTCGGACTTATATATATTTTAAAAATCACATGACGTTTAGTTATATTTACGTAAAACTGTAATTATAGATTTATGTGGTTATTGATTCAAATTTCACTTTTATAATTTATATAAAGTAAGGAGATGTGGTATGACTGCCGATGAGACAACTATCCACCATGCAGAGTCCAAAATGACGTGGATGTTGACAACTATTATATGTCAACATTGAGCAAATCACATACCGTACGTATAGTCAGCTATTAAAGACTTCGACATGACAAAACATGAAAGTAATTACAATTCAAGCACGCATTTTTCTCCATGAGTTAAAATACATATAATTATAATGTAAACGTTTACTTAGTCAAATAATAAATACGCTTCAAATAAATGCATTGTAAGTTTTTGTTCAGCAATAAATAATATAATTACAGTTTATTACATTTTGTAGGACGGTAAGTTAAGATGATGGTAGTTTGGTATAGCTATAGTTTGTGTCGAAGAAACAATTATTCAGATAACTTAAATTTCACAGTAAAATGTAAAGAAAACTGTATTAACGAACTCGAATCTATATAAAAGAGGTTTTCAATCAAAACCTTCCTTCATTAAAACAAATGTTAATTTCTGACAATTTAAATGAAAATCAGACAACTTTGTCGCAAACGGTGAGATGAAAATTATCCTGAAATTGAAAATACAACCAAATCTCTAAGATTTAATCGAATATTTTGCCAATTAATGGAAATAAATATTTGCGCTGAAGTTAGTGATTGTTTACATACGGAAACTAATTAGCTAATATATTGCCAGACAGGCCATTATACCAACTGTAGTTAAAGCATTTTTATGCTAGTTAAAACGAACACCGATTCAGACACGCATTTTTCTCCAATAACTGGGTCAAAATGCACGGTAGTTCACATTGTAACTGTAAACAAATACTGGACAAGCTACGAAAATATATATTGTAAACTAAGTTTTAAATAAGAAAAACACGATTCGTAATAATTTCGAAGGACAGTGACCTTGAATGATAATCGATAGATTGGTTTACTGATTGATTGAATGAGAACATTGTTTTAATGTCAAAGATTTCATGCATAATAGCTGAAAGTCATTCGTGAATTTTTTTTCTTGAAAACATGATTGCGTTTAACTAATAATGATTGATTTCTAGTTGATGAACGAACTGCACAACAGCAAATATGTAATGCACGTTTAGGGATACAACTAGTACAATTAATATTAAATCCTGCTTGGTCGACTGGGATGACGTTGGTAAGTTGGAATGCCACTAGACATGAGCTTTTCTGCTTTTTCTGGAGGAAAGCAATGGTAATAGTTCTATACTTCACTATAAATGCATAACTCTAAGATAATATGATAATGACCAAATGTAAGACTATTGCCAGAGGAGTGTGAATAGTATTACCCTTGTGTGTACTTTAAAAAGTATGACTTTGTAAACTTTCGACAACGTGTAGAACTATTCTTGTGGCAAATTAATTTATTTGTTTTAAATGATTCCAAAAATTGTTTTAGAATAATCACATTTGACGGACATGTTATTTCATTTTCATTTAAAACGCAAAGCAATGTATAACATAGATCAATAAAAAATTCTTTCTCTAATTTTTTCCAGGGCATTTCACCCTTTGATGAAAATAGGCGAACCTTAAGTTTTACAGTTATAACGAAACACATCATTGTGTTTGAAATGCAAAGATGAGATATATTGCTTTATATAAGAATATGTTTTTAAAAAGGCCATCTATTGCATGGCGGCAGGCAAAACCTTGGTGTTACAAATACTTAAGAATATTATAAACAATAAGCTTACAGAAAATGACATTGTCAGTGATATGTCATGTCAAATTTGAAGTACTGCCTACTGGGTTTGTGAACCTTCCTTTCCTTTCAAAACTTTAGGTCCTCGAAGTTCTTTAACTTCGTACTTTATTTGGCCTTTTTAACTTTTTTTATACGAGAGTCACTGATGAGTCTTTTATAGAATAACCGGACATCTAGTGTACAATATTTTAACCCCTGTACCTTTGGTGAATTTATTGGGAATGTCCACCAGTAGTGTCATCGACCCAGTGGTTGTGAAACCCATAAAAGATACTTATAATTTGGTACACGAGAGGCGCTATTTGTCTACATCAGAATCATCGGTGGCGCTCGAATCAAAATAGTTAGAAGGCAAAATCGAATACAAAGTTGAAGAACTTGAAAAACAAATAATTTCAAAACGTTGTACCAACTCCAGCTATGGCCAACTATGTCGGTGGTAGAAAAACGATACAGTTAAAGGGCAGGTAATGACGTCGCTAACGCAAAATGTTATTTTTCGCGACGGCAAACTGAAACATCGGGAAAAGATGCATTTTTCGCTTGATTTTTATCATTAGCTTGAATACGAGTACATAGACCCTTTGTTTTTAAAATGACATTTGGCTTGATTATGTATGACGATTATTTGTACTAATTTTTATGAAGAAATCACCGATGTTTTTTTTTTTAAATTGGATAAATATTCAGCGAAAAATGCCGGTTTTTTCTTAAATCATGAAAAAATAGTATAGAAATTATTTCCAAAGAATCGTTACACAAACTTAGGGTATACTTAATATGTGAAATCGATATTTCAAATGTTTTTTTTTTTACAAAAATCCGCTAGTGATTACCTTTTGAATAAAAAAAGTTAGGAATATATAAAAAAAAGAGATGTGGTATGATTGCCAATGAGACAACTCTCCAAAAGAGACCAAATGACACAGAAATTAACAACTATAGGTCACCGCACGGCCTTCAACAATGAGCAAAGCCCATACCGCACAGTCAGCTATAAAAGGCCCCGAAATGACAATGTAAAACAACGGCCTAATTTATGTACAAAAAATGAACGAAAAACAAATATGCAACACAAAAACAAACGACAACCACTGAATTACAGGCTCCTGACTTGGGACAGGCACATACATACAGAATGTGGCTATTTTTGGCAGCTGAAGGGCATACGATACAGTTTAGATCCCACGGTGATTTTTTTACGAAAATATGCATACAAGCTAAATTTAACCTAGTCAATTCAAATATGATATAAAAAATATACCTTCATGTGCTACTTTTAGAGATAAATGACTAACAAAAATGTCTGTTCAACGGATAGAAATGTCCAATAAATTGAAATTTGAGTAAATGTCTAAAATTTCGACCTCATTTATCTCTAAAAGTAGCACATGAAGGTATATTTTTTATTACATATTTGAATTGACTAGGTTAAATTTAGCTTGTATGTATATGTTCGTTAAAAAAATCACCGTGGGATCTAAACTGTATCGTATGCCCTTAAGCTGCCAAAAATAGCCACATTATGTCGTAAAACTTTATTTTGTAGATAAGATCACATGTTTTACCCAATATATAGATATTCTAATATAAGATGTCTTTAACAAAAATGTTGATGTGCGTTAAATATTTTTTTGTCAAGGGCCTTTGTTACAACGGTATATTTTACCAAACACTAGGTGTAAAATAGCATTTATAGATCCAATACGTTAATTTCAATATGTTTATGACGTCGAAATGACATCACAACTGTCATTCTATTATGATATCAGATGATATCAACCTTTTTTATTTATAAATAGAAATAACATATATTTTGGAACGTTTGGAAAATTTTACCATTTTTGCAAATTCGGGGGCCAAATATTTGCTTGATTAAAAGATTTCATTTATAGTATCACTACCGTATCCACATTGTGAGTTCGACTCTGATCTTAACAGACTAGGATTGACAGTTTTCATGTATAGTATCACTACCCTATCCACATTGTGGTTGTGAGTTCGACTCTGATCTTAACAGACTAGGATTGACAGTTTTCAATAGTATCACTGCCCTATCCACATTGTGGTTGTGAGTTCGACTCTGATCTTAACAGACTAGGATTGACAGTTTTCATGCAGAGGGTAGGTGGTTCTCTCCGGTACTCAAATTTTCCCCAGCTAACAAAAAACGCTACGATATAGTCAAGCGCGTCAATGGTGGCATTAAACACCAACCATCAATCAATTAGTATATATAAAAAAATCTAGGTAATAATCATACGAGGGCGTCGTATCGCTATGAAAAACGATACTTTACACATGCAATAAATTAAATGTACGTCTCTCTCTCTCTCTCTCTCTCTCTCTCTCTCTCTCTATATATATATATATATATATAAACTAAACAAGTCTAAATTGAAAACAACGTTCAAACCTATGATTGCGTTGGATAAAACCCGCAATTTTTATACGTGTGCATGCAAAACAAATTTCTTGTTAGAGGGATCTAAATACAGCACAAACAACATTTTCCAAATGATCAAAAAAGTGAAAAAGTATATTTTAACAAAACGCATTTGACTAATAGGTCGAACAACAAATCTTCTTAAACCCTGCTGACTGCCATTGGCGATTGCCAAATAAACGGATCACCCGGTGTAATAAATATATATATATTATCCTTATAATAATGATAAATAAAACAAACTTACCATGATTACTGTCTCGAATGAAGGCCACGACGACAAAAGCTACACAAGCAAAGAACAGAAGAGAACACAAACACAGTAAGTATTTTTCACGATTAGTCCATCTCCTTGAGCAACCCTCTGTTTCATGCACATGTACGACAACGTCCATTGTATTGTTCATAACATTTTGCTTTTCTTTTTTGTCTTTTCGTTTTTCAGTCATACCATTACGAGGGTCCTTCCGTTTATGGTGGTCATGAGGTAGAAACTTTTCATTTTCATTATGATTGGAGTTCATTTCCTTGTGCTTTATATCTCCGTTGCAGTTAGCGAGCATGTCCGGATTTGTAAAGCAATCAGAATTTCCATACGACATTGCTTAAATTGTATTATTGCACGTGCACAATATTGGACTGTAGACAAGTAAGTAACATATTTTCAGTTAAGTGTGATCTAGAATTTTCAATATCATTAGTTACTCAGGAATCTGCACTTCCTAATCTTCATGGTAAATAGTCATTAAAATTCTTCATCGTACGGCTTCTGGACAACTGTCCTGAAAATAAAATGCAAATGACATCTTTGTCTGAGTTCTAATACAAACACAATGTGTATTTTTTATATGATAAAACAAAAGTGTTAATAATTAACAAATCTTATGTCGCAACCCGATCTGTAAACAAATGACCAATCCTCATGCATAATTTCCTTTGACTTGTTTGAAGATACAGTATATATGCAGTGAAAATAAGAGATAGATTCTTCCAGCTATTTATATAGTAAATGTTACCTGTTGATTGGGAAAGAAAAGTTGTATGTGATTATCTATTTGTATTTGTAATTTCGAAACGAGAGTTTTGTTAACTAGCATTATTTACATAATATATATATTTGTAATATAGATTCTATACGCTGTTTTAATATTGAATAAAGATCAGCATTATCTTTTTTATTAATTCATGAAGATGATCATTCATATTATTGTTTGTCTCATGTAAGTGTCATAACCAATGTTTTTCAGTTCTACATCAAGGACAGTTCTACCCAAGAACTGATTCTTTCAGTTTCATCCTAGAACTGATTATGACAGGTCTTCCCTGGAACAGTTCTAGGATTGAACTGTTCTAGATAAAGGCAACAGTAGTATACCGCTGTTTAAAACAGTTTTGTGAAAAATTATTCTGACATTTCTTAAGTGAGGTCAGAATTGACCCGAACTGTTAGTGTCATAACCAAGGTTTGGATACAAACAAATGTTGCCCGGCATTGGCTACACTTTATGTCCGATTTGGTTTATAAGCCTTCATGTTTATGCCCCACCTACGATAGTAGAGGGGCATTATGTTTTTCGGTCTGTTCGTCTGTTCGTTCGTTCGTCCTTCCGTCCTCCGTCCGTCCGTTCGTCCGTCTGTCACGCTTCAGGTTTAAGTTTTTTGTTAAGGTAGTTTTTGATGAAGTTGAAGTCTAATCATCTTGAATCTTAGTACACATGTTTCCTATGATATGATCTTTCTCATTTTAATGCCAAATTAGAGTTTTTATCCCAGTTTCACGGTTCACTGATCATAGAAAACGATAGTGCGAGTGGGGCATCCGTGTACTATGGATACATTCTTGTTTTAATAACTTTTGGATTTTCAAATATTTTGTCCTCTAGCATCACTGCAGAGATATTTACTGTCAAAATGCACATCTGGTGCAGAAAAAAATGGTACCGTTAATGTTATTAATGTACGTTTAGGCCTTACAGTAAGCTATAGACCAAAATATAGATATGTTTATAGATTTTGCCCTTTGAAAATATGATTGATATCGAATCGTTTTCCCAATGTAGAAGACTAAATCACTCTTGATGATCATTAATTAGTAATTCCAGATTATACTTATTAAAAAAAACTATTTTTTTCTAAATGAAATTCCAATCCACAGTTCATGCTTAATTCATATCGCCATTATATGCAGATTTATTTTTAGTCTTGAAAAAAGGCTGAACCACAAATGTTTTCAAAATATTTTTGGATATTTGGATGTCACACTTCCAAACACACGACCACGGAACAGCAATAATTAAGAAACGGGAGATACCAAACAGACATTCAAAACTCATAAGTAGGAAAGAAACAGACAACTCCATGTAAAAAAAGAATGTGTCCATAGTACACGGATGCCCCACTCGTACTATCATTTTCTATGTTCAGTTGACCGTGAAATTGGGATCAAAACTCTAATTTGGCATTAAAATTATAATGATCATATCATAGGGAACATGTGTACTAAGTTTCAAGTTAATTGGACTTCAACTTCATCAAAAACTACCTTGACCAAAAACTTTAACCTGAAGTGGGACAGACGGACGAACGGACGCACAGACCGAAAGACTTAATGCCCCTAGATGGGGCATAAAAAGAATGAAAGACAACGAAAACACAAACAAGTCAACAAAACACGAAATAGAAAACGAAAGATTGCGCAACACGATTCCCGCTAAAATACTGGGGACGATTTTATGTTCTCTGGAAGGGTAGGCTGAATCTGTTCCACTAGTAGCAACCTTCATGTTGTTCATGGTGAGTATATGATAAATTCCCTGGAACAAACTCTTCATATGACAGCTAATACTGTGGACTTCTCTCCTTTCACAAATAACACTTGCATCATATCAAAATGGAACTTAATAGGCAGCTAAACAACCAAGGCAACTACACAATTAAATGATTCGAGAACACACTCAAAGGTTTGGAAATGCGATCTAACTTAAAAATTATATAAAAGCAAACTGATTGGTCAAAGTGACTAATCTTTTAAATAACATAATCCTAGGATCAAATATAAGTTTCATTTGAAAAAAAAAACTCACCTGTCAAAAATACATTTTGTATTAAACGCAACAATGCATCTTGATATGGTTTAAGGTAGTTTATCATCGTTAAGGACTAATCCGACTTTTAGAACTACTATAAGGTTTATATATGGTTAACGAATTTGATGATGTCTGGGGGTTAAATAAGATTCAATTACAAATTGAACGCTATTGTTTGTTGCCTAATCACTTGATATAACTTTCCAATGTACTATATAGGAGTAAAACGACAGGTATTAAATGGGGAGCAGGATCTGCTAACCCTTCTGGATGACCTGAGATCAACCCCATTTTTTTGGGGTGGTTTCTTTTGCTCAGTCTTTATTTTTTCCACTGATTGTTTTGTGGACTTGTTTGTCTTTCCGTCGTTTTACGTTTGTAGTCATGGCGTTGTCAGATTCTCTTTGATTTATGAGATTTGAATGTTCCCTTGATATCTATTAGTCTCTTATGTATGGATTATGAATAGTTAAATTGCACCATTATTTTAATTGTTTAGATGTTTTCCTTGGTGTATATATATATAGGCATTACTATATTAATAGAAAAAAATGTAAAAAAAAAAATTGTTTTGAAATAATTTATAATTTATTCATTAGTATTTGTTTTAAACTGCATCAGCGCAAAACATAAATTATGAGTATAATATCATGTGTAGAAAAACGAATTTTCGGAGCTTTCTTCCCTTACATGGCTAAGTTACGAAGATTTTGAATAAACCAAAAAGCCTTAGTTATTTGTCAAAACAAGCGTAATAATAAGATGAAATCAAATTTTTTTTTTACATTTAGATGAAACTTATTCAAATTTATTGCATTCCTGCCTTAAAATTTGCCCTTTTTCTAAATCTTTATTAAATGCTTTCGTATTTTTTACCAATCACAACGACAGAAGACCCCATACTACTTTAAATCTAAGGTATTTCAACTTGAATACCGAAAAGGCTGGTTACCAACTGGTATTGAAAATTTTAATCAACATGACATGGATTTTGTCAATGACCTTGACCAAGAAAAATATATTGTTTATTATATAGACAATGAGAAAGATATAATATTTTGTCGCAACGCGGGTAAATTATCACGTTGTGATTGGTTTAACGCCGTCACGTGGTGACCCCCTATGGATCCGTAGGGGGTTAGTAAATTTCATAGGGGGTTCATGACGTCACGTCTACTGCTAATGGTGACTTCATCTATTAATGTTGTTGTGTTTCATTGTTTATTTTTCTACAAAACGCAGCAGAAAAAGTCCCGCGTGCGATAAATTCGTTATACAGTTCACTACTGACGCCCTACGGACCATAGAGGGTAAATAAAATCCATAGGAGATTCGGCCTTCGGCCTCACCCCCTATGGATTTTACTAACCCTCTATGGATCCGTAGGGGGTCAGTAGCGAACCATATAACTTATAATATGTTCATAACTACATTATTAGATGATTTGAAATACATGATGAAATATAAGAAATAATAGTAATTTTCAGCTTCAACGATGATTGCAAAACCATTGTACGACACAAACAACATCGGAACTGGTGAAATTGAAGTTAACTCAATACGTTTAGCTTATTATTAAAGGTCATGAAAATAGTTTGCATTGTTATTTTGATTATGCTTGTTAAAAACGAGAAGAAACTTCTTCAGTTGTTTTTAAATTGTTTCATTGATTGATAGTGTTTTATTTTGTCAGTTTTTATTGGCTTCCCCATTTTGAATTTGCCTTGGAGTTCGGTATTTTTGTTATACTTTGTTAAGGCTAAGGTTTATTGACATTGATGTCAAACAATATATTCAGTAGTTTTTATAATAATGTTCAATATATCAGATTGTATTATGAATTGACCAAAGTGCACACCATATTGACTAAAGCAAGGTATACGTAATGCACGTGTTTCGATATCTTAATTACCTCTAGTTGCATGTATGAGCTGGAAATTTAAAACATTTCTGGAATGTGTAATTCTAATGCCAGAAAAACCTTTATGAACAAAGTGGTATATCTGTAAACTATGCATTAATTGCTCCGGTTTAATTGCAGGATTAAATTTGAGACATGTGTTTTCTTCTTGTTTTAATTAGAAAGCATGATCATTAGATACTTATTTTAGGTAATTAACATTACATATTTTTACATAAGAGATAAACGTGATAAAGATTCAGATTTTTAACTGCTCTGAGATAATAAGATGACGTGCTTTATTAATAGAAGATACAGAGTTATCGACAATTTGCACAGTTTCCCTTTGATTTTACCGCCTACTCTTTTTAAAGATGATTGACATGACCTTATACTCGGAAATATTATGCAATGACGTCACGTACAAGTGCAGCAATGTTACACGACTATGTCCATCCACGTCAATTAATCAATGAAGTGCAAGCGACTTCATTCATACAGCCGAACAACTATCACAACGTTTTGTACGCGAATAAATAGTTATTCTAATCGTTCCGCTTAATTTCATATCCTCAACAAACAAAAAAATATTGTTGAGACAAATTGCAGATCAAAAGAATAATAACATTTTATTTTCTGATACTAACTTTATAAGCTCGAATATCAGTTCGACTTGCAATTCAGTATCAGGATGAAAATTGCATTATTTCTTATTCCATATCTAACATGTTAAAAGCATAAACAAGAGCTGAATAAAGCAGCGTATTTAATGTATTAATATGTACATATATACGTA